CCCCCCCACATGGCCCCACAACCTGTCAGTCCCTTGACAATCAATGCCGGCATGATAGTACGAAGAAACTCCTCACAACGCCCCCCAACCCCCCTCCACCCCCAGGCGTCGTACTGCGTGCGCGAGTTGGGCATCGACGCGGCGCGCGTCAACCCCAACGGCGGCGCCATCGCCCTCGGCCACCCGCTCGGCGCCACCGGCGCGCGCTGCACCGCCACACTGCTGCACGAGATGCGCCGCCGCGGCCGCGCCGCGCGCTTCGGCGTCGTCTCGATGTGCATCGGGTCGGGCATGGGCGCGGCGGCGGTGTTTGAGGCCGGGGACGCGGCCGACTGCCCCTCGCCGCGGTCGCTGCCCGTGGACGGCCAGACGCAGCTCTCGCGCGACTTCCGCGGCTGATGCTGTCGTTGAGCTGAGGCGAGGCCCGGCAAGCGGCCCGCGTCGGCGCGGGCGCTTGGGGCTCGAGGCGCGTGCGGCAAACGGCTGAGGCGTTTTGAGGCGGGTGCCCGCGGCTGGCCGGTGGGGAGGGGCGTGGGCGCAACGCACGCCACATACGCGGTGCAGGGGACCGGGGCGGTTGCGCAGCAGGCCTTTTTATGATGCAAATACGGTGCGCGCGTTTCCGGCTTTCCCACATCACCGCCGCCCCGTCCTGGCCCTGTGCAGCCACACGGCTACAGGCTGCGCACGCTGCCCCTGGTCGTCCCCTTACTGCCTATGTTTACTGCGGACTGTGTGTCACCATCTTGGCCAGGGGGGGGGGGTGGCTGGCAGCGCGCCGCTGACGGCCGCATATCGCCCAGATCAGGCCGCCAACCGAGCCGCGGTGCTCTGGAGCATCCCCCCCGTGTGCGGTGCGTCCTGCTCGCCTTCTCGACTCGTCTCCTTTATCGCACTGGCGTATTGGCTGCTCCTTCTCGGGCATGCACACAGCTCTGCCCAGCAGGCCCGCGCCTGTGATGCGTAACTTTTGATTGGATTGGGCGGCGCTGCGGATTGCCTATTTTACGTGTGCTGGCCCAACCACACTTGTGTTGTGTAGTGAGCTTGACTTTGCTAGGTGTCATCTGTTTACGTTTTCCCTTTCTACCTACAGTGTAACTAGTGGTCCTACAGAGAAAGTAGTGGTGGAGCTTGTGTGTTTTGTGCATACCAACAGCCAGGTGCTGGGTGCTGCCCCAGAGGACTCTCGATGCGCGCTGATGACCACACAGCGAGCGAGGCGGCTGGCAGCTCGCACGCCGACAGGGCAGCACCCCTGCGTCCCTGGGATTGCCGCCCACCTGCGTGGAGCGTGGTCCCAGGACCCGCGTGTTAGCATGAAGCTGCTGCTGCCAGGGCCTCTGCTAGGCTGCTTCTGCCGCCACGCGCGTCCTGCAGCAACGGCCCCGTGGTTAGCGAGCGCGGCGCGCGTGCCCTGTGCATCAAGCAGGTGCATCGTTGCAGCTCCAGGCTTCAGTGCCGGGTGCTGTGCTGCTTGGAGAGCCGCTTTGGGTTGCCGCTACAGCGGCGTCACCTGTCTCCGACCGCACTCAGTGCGCTTGGCGGCGCTAGCGATGCAAGGTCGTGAGGGGCGGAGCCGCCCGCAGGCCGAGCGGGCAGGGACATCGACATCCACCCCGCCGGCAGCACAGCGGGCGTGCATGCACCGATGGCGCGCTCTGGGTGGGCCGAGGGCGCAGCGCGCCGTGGTGCTGCGCCCAGGTGCGGAGCAAGCAGCCGCGCCCAAGAGTGGGTGGGTGGAACATGGCGGCCGCGGGTACAATGATGCGCCAGCCGCTCTGGTAAGTGATGACGCCCACGAGCATCATGGGGGCCAGCTAGCTGCTAGCAAGCAGCATTACTGCCGGCGGTACATTACTGCCGGCGGTAACATGTCCAGTCAAGTTACCCTGTTACAGCGCATTACCCTGCACTACGGCTGCGCGTTGCGCCGTTACCACGGCGGCGGTAACACCACCTTTTGTACTGGGGTGACACGCCCCTTTTGCCACCAGTGTGCTGCCGCCTCACTCGTGCCCATTGCTGCCAGCTGTGCCTGCATCCGCAGTCTGTGTGCAGGGGTTGGCAAAATTGACGAAAATGTCGTTGACGCTGAGAGCTGTGACGGCTCAGCGCCAACCACCCAGCTGCGATGGGGGAGGGTAGGGGTGGGGCAGCATCGTGACGTCCAGCCACATCACCAGGTTCACCAGCTGCTGTTCTTGTCGCTACTCTAGGCTGTGAGGTCTGGCTGCTGGGCCTGCTGATACTGCTGAACTTGCTGGAAACTCGGTGGGATCACCCTCGCAGGGACAGCACCGTCCGACCTGATCTGGATGACTTCGATGACTTGACAGCTGCATGTCAAAGATAAACTGAGCTTCAGATCCTGATTCGATGTCGCGGACGCCGGCTGTTCAGGTAATCCACCATCACGTAGCCTGAGCTGCTTCCGGCACCGGGAGTGGAGAGAGCGCCCTACGCTGCGGCAGTAGCTCGTGCAATACCAGTCAAATAAATAAGATGTATTCTGGCTGCCTTTGAAGCCTATGACAAACGTGTAGCACGTTTCGGTGTAGATCAGTTTACGCGCCATGAACTGGGCCCGTGTGGTGGACGCTTTGGCTACACTGCACGCCGGAGCAGATGGGAAGTCAGATGGGGTGCCATATATTGAGGCTGTGCGGACGGTGGTCGAGGAGCTTGGCGCACTTGAGGGCAACCCCAAGTGCAGCCTCAGCATAGCCCTGATCACCGATGCGCTGCAGAGCGCCCCCAGCGACCCAGGCAGCGACCATATCGTGCACCTGTTGGCTCGCCTGGCAGCAGAATTATCCCAAGACGCGCCGCGCCTGGAAGAGGGTTCGGCAGTTCACCTGCCGTGCTGCCCCGGTAAGCTGGGAACCCGCTGCTGCCGCCGCGCGTCAGGCCGCCTGCATTCTGCTTTGCAGCAATCCGCAAGTTGCGGCCAGCGAGCGCATGGCGTCATGCCCAAGCGCCCATGCCCAACGCATCCACCCGCAGGTGAGGAGGCCGGCGCGATCGGCGGCCACCTGAGCGGCTGCCTGCCGTCCCTGCTGTCTCTGCTGCACGAGCACATCCCCCGCCTGCACCGGCACCAAAACCTGCAACATGAACTCCCAGGCGCGGGCAGCGGCGGCGGCAGCCGGGAGCACCTGCTGAACGTTTCATCCGATGATGGCGTCGACCACAGCGACAAGGAGGAGGCCCTCCCCAAGCTCTTCATCCTGGGGGGACTCACCAGCGCAATGGGTGCGCGCGCCCCGCTCGCCGCTGCGCTCATTAGGCCATGCATGCATGTCAGGCCGCTAGCGTGAGCTCAGCACCCGGGTGGGACGCCGCGTGCTTGTCCCCCCCAGGACAGGTCAGGTGCGTGTTCATGGCAGCCTCACTCAGACGAGCAGCCCCATGCCTGCACCCGAGGGAGGGGGGGACAGTCGCAGCCCATTACGATCCGTCACCCACCCATCCA